ACAGTGAAAGGCAGGCTGCATCCCAGGGTGGATAAAAATCAATGATTTAAAAAAAAACCCAGATGTTTTTGATAAAATGCTTTTTGAGGAAAAAACCTATCTAAAGATAGTTTTTAATTAAAATACATTATAGCTCAAAGATATCTCATCACGGAACAGGGATTATAAATTCAAATTCTATAGTATGAAACAATATATTCATGTAATGTTTAAGAAAAGTTTTGTAAATAAGTTCCAATAGTTCATGGATTAGGGATCCAATTTTATAGGGTTCCAGGGGCTTCTATATAGATTTATTTAGGTTAATTTTTCTATCTATTCAATGGGACTCAGTGCTCAGTCTAGAAGATACCTGTGGATTTGTGTCTCTGGAGATAACATGCTTGTTAACAGCAAAAATGTTTTTATATATATATATGAGAGAGAGAGAGAGAGAGAGAGATATGAAAAATAACAGACCTCAACCCTATTGTCCCTCACAAATTTATGTACACAGAATCAATCCCTTACCTCTGTCTAAAAACGCAAAGTTTCAAAAAGTTCAATGAATAGAAGATTGTTAGGGCAGAATAGATCTGGACAAGAGGAAGTCTGGAGATAAACGTGAGTTCTCAACACTGGCTTAAGAGAAATGTTGAACACATGCTAAGTACCCTGAAGCCTATTTCTGTAGCCTTGAACAAAATGCAGGGAAATAGCTGTTTTATTGCTGACGCTGTTGAAATTTGGAAGGAACTGAGTGAGATTTTAAAAGAGAAATATGCAATGACAGAGTTAAATTACAAGCAAAAAAATAAATGGAACAAGCACTATCTCCAGCTCATTTTCTTGCAAATATTCTCAATATTCGGTATTAGGGTCAAACCTTAACTGCTGAAGAAGAGGAGTTGGCTATGACATGGACATCCAGCAATCATTCCTCCATAATGCCAACTATAATAAACTTCAGAGCTAAGGGTGAACCACTCAAGAAATATAGGTTTGCTGATGATGTTTTAAAGAAAGTCACACCAGTGAACTGGCGGAAGTCACTTAAGCACTTGGATTCAGAGATTGTTGAATTGATAATCTCACTTTTAACAGCAGTAGCTTCTTCTGCCAGTGTAGAAAGAATATTTTCTTCCTTTGGACTAATTCATTCCAAATTGAGAAATCGTTTGGCACCCGAAAAAACAGGAAAGCTTGTTTTTCTTTTCCAAATTATGAACAAACAGGAAAATGAAACGACTGAATTAGCTGCAGAAGCCAATATTTTAAGTTTCTCATGTTGACCTGGCTGATGTAGTCGATTTAATTTTTGCTTTGTTTTTTTAAATATTTCATTTAACTATTTTAGTTAAAAACAATTTTAACAAAAACAAACCTGATTTTAAAAAACATGAATGTTAAACTAAATTCAAAAATTCATATGCTTGTTTTGTTAAAATATTATATGTTTGCTGTTGAAGAAAAAAATCCAGAATACATAACATTGTTGTTTTAGTTAAATAAAACAATTTAAATATCTGTCTGATGATGTTCTCCTCCTAATACAGCATGGCAAGAAAATCCTCAAAATATTAATGATTAACCTGTTGAACTGGAGATAGTTCATCTCCCAATGACTTCATAAATATCTGCTTCAAGTACCTTTGGTAAATTAAATAACCAATCATTCATTTTCTGATATAGGTGTAAAACTATTCTGAAAAGTTTTCAAGATAACTCACTTTAAAAATGTATAGTGTGTACCTTCTAAAAATGAAACCTACATCTATCTCGGAGTTGTGAAGAATATGTATTATGGTTATAACAATCAACAAGAATGCACTTTTCTGTAGAAATCCATGATTAAATCGAGTCTTTCTGACTAGGTGCACGGACCCTGCTGCATCCATGTTTGTCAGATGGTGTGTAGCTACAAGGGTGGCAGTAGGATGCTACACAGCAATAATAGCAGCATAGACCTGAGAGGCATGGTTTGGGTGGGTAGAGCCCTGCAGGCAACTTACCTAGGTTCAGGTACATAGGGCACTTTGCTCTACTCCCTTAAGCAGTGCCTACACTGCTGTTTATACCTGTGATAACTGGGCACACAGTCTGTACTCTGCACATCACTGCAAGTGCAGCCCCACTTTCAGAGGCATTTTCAGGTGCTGCCCCTGGACAGTTTGGGGGGTTTACAGTCACATTTCTCCGTTCGGAGACAGGCTGCCCCAACCTGCAGGCAGGGCGCCGCCCCCAGAACCCCGCCTCCCGTACCATAGGGGTTGGTACTAGGGGTGCACCGCACCCCCTGGCTTGAAGTGGTTTCCACCATAGACAGGGTTTACAGTTTGGGTCAATGGCTCTCAGCACCCCCGCTCCGCACCCACCTGCAGCAGGAAGAGGCGGGAGCTGCCCCCGAAACGCAGCGCGTGCCCCACGCGCACCCGGCAGTAGGTGCGGGGCGGGAGCCGGGCCTTGTTGAGGAAGGTGCCGTGGGTGCTGTCCAGGTCGTAGACGTAGAAGCCGGGCTGGGCCTGGCCGCGGTACTGCAGCACGGCGTGGTGCCGCGACACGGACGGGTGCTCCAGCGCCAGGGCGCAGCCTGGCAGCCGCCCCACCAGGAACCAGCTCCTGCCCTCCAAGCGCAGGGTGCCCACGATGACGCCGCCCTTCAGGGTCTCCAGGCCGTAGCCAGCCTCGGCTGGGGGAGCGCTGCCCCACGGCGGCTCCTGGTAGCGGGGCTGCGGGGCCGCGGCGGGGAGGGGGCCAGGGGCCGAGCTCGGGGCCCCGGGCTGGGGCGGGCTCTCCGCCGGCGGCTCCCCACCCGCTGCTTCCCCCTCGCGGTCCCGGGGAGCGGCGCCCACCTCCTTGCCGCGGAGCGGGACCGCCGGCGGCAGCGCCGGTCTCTTGAAGGCCCCAAACTCGGGTCCCTCGGCCACCGGCTCCATCCCTCTGGGCTCGGCCGCTACCAGCCTAGCGGGTCCCGCGAAACCAATCCCCCCCGAAACCCTGCTCCACGGCAGCTCGGGTTCCGCCCACGTCTCAGTGCCGCAAGGGCTCCGAGCCCCGGAACCAAACAACGAGGTAGAGGAAGAGCGCGGCGAACACCCCCACCCTCCAGGCAGCGCGGGACTCCGGGGGACCATTTCCGCCAACGGAACATCGTTTACATCCGGGTCAGAGGTCAGCGGCTCAGGGGTGATCGGAGTCCGTCGGTTGCGAGGTGTCAACAGCACGAGGCTGCCGGCGTCTGTTGCGGGCCGGGGCTCGGTAAGGGCGGGGCGGGATCCTCTGCGCCGGTCCCTCCCCCTGTGCTCCCCGCAGGGCTCAGCGTGACCTACGGGCGCTTCCCCCCGAGCCGGTGGTGTCTCCGCTCCCCTGACTCCCCTCCAGCCGGGCCGCAGCGCTCACAGCTCCGGGGTCTG